TCGACCTCCCTGCCTGCGGCTACACGAGGCACAGGCTAGGTAGTTCGAATTAAAGCTCCTAATTTGAACTACCATTACTCCTCCTGTAATGCAGGAGGAGTAACGGTAGTTCGAATTAGGAGCTTTAATTCGAACTACCTAGCCTGTGCCTCTTGTAGCCACTGGCAGGAAGTTCGAACTACCGGGCATTTAAAAATGGCGGCACCCGGGAACATGCAAATAAAGCCCGGGATATTTTAATCCTGGGCTTCTTTTGCAAGTTTGAATGACTACATTAGCCACCCTAGCTTGAACTAGGGTGGCTAGTGTAGACATAGCCTTATAGGCAGAATTGCTTCTGCATGCATATTTTGAAACGACACAGATTCTGTCTGGGATCTAGCCTGATAATGCACATAACATGTTGTCTAGATTAATAAACCAGTCTCTATGATTGGAACCTCATGGTACCAATTTACGATTTCATAGCCAATAGATTAAGAGTAAATACATGTTCAGTATTTCAAGCCTAAAGAGAGCAAGAATGCCATCCTGTATCCAGTTGAAACTGCAGTGGGATTTCAAATTATTCATCCAAGACAACCCTGTTATATGAGAAATAATACTCTTAAGTGCTCAAGAGTTTGGTTTTTTCATCTCCAAGCATTAGTCCCCCATTATGGGTTTTTGGTTCAGCACTGTCTTGGATGGAAAATCCCCACCTCTTTAATCACAAGTACTTCTTTTTGCAGCACCAGAGTATTCTCTGAAGTACTAATCAGGCTTTACTTAATTTGTGAGATCTGAGAAGAGCCCAACTTCTGAAGTGTATACACTATGGATCAGATTTTTAAAGGCTGCTTAAAGATGCAAATCAGTGAGAGTTAGGTATCTGGTGGTTTTGAAAATCTCGTTAGGCACCTAACTGTACCTAAATACCTTTACAAATCTGGGCCTGCATCTCTGTGTCTATCAGTTTCTCTCTGTAAAGCATTTTGTCATATTTCATATAAAAGACACAACATAATCACACATTATGTGTGTTTAGTATTCACTGCATTTTGCAGAAATATATTGTATTACATAGATATGTCTTTCTGTGTTCAGTGTCTTAGTCTTTGCTCATATCCTTCATTAAAATACACCTTTTCTGCCAGTCATCCAGTATTCTCCCAGCCATATTAGAAGTCGTGTTAGTAAGTACTTATATTAATGTATTTTAAACACAGTTCCCTATACTAGCTTTTGATCATTCAGAGTACTCTGGTTTCTCTTCAGAGTGTATAAATATTTTGCATTATTATTTCTTCATTGTAGATTATAGCTCTATGGGGCAAGAATAATATCTTCGTTTTTTGTACAGATAATGATTTAGTTAATAAAAATATGAATGAGAGTGCTCAAGAGATGGTTGAAACTTTGTGTCTGTTAAATTTGCAGCAGTAAATTTTTGTTGTGTGTTTAGGGTTTCAGTGCAAGTGCCATCCTTTTAGAAGTGAGCTTGTTCTACCCTTCCTTCCTAGACCTCGAGAAGAGAGGCTTCTGGCAAGCCAAGGTTTCAGAGGTAGGATCAGTTTGCCAGGACATAGACCACAGTGAAAAACAACCCAAAGAACTCTGGCAGCTGTCCCAACAGGAACCCAGAATTATTCAAGGTCTGTTAACAATGGGACTATGTGAGTCATCTGGTATGTTGAGTTGGAAAAAAATCCTTCATGGCTGAAGACTCTTAGGAAGTGTTTATATTTACAGGATGATGTTCCTAGTAGGGATGTAAAATCCCATTTAATTGGCTAACTAGTGAAAACATTGTTTAACCAATTAGCTGCTTAAAGGGAGATGAGCAGGGGGACTGCCCAGCCCAGCTGGAACGGCCCCTCTGCGCGCTGCTGGGCTAGACCTTCCCCACCACAGATAGGGGTTGTTCCAGCCTGGCCAGAGCAACCCCTGCCTGTGCCCTCCTGCCCTTTCCCACTTCAGGCAGGGGCTGCAACCTGCAGAGCCATGCCCTGCAGAGTGACGCCCTGCCCATGGCAGGTGGGGAGCTGCTCCAGCCCCACCAGTTAACTGGTTAAACCTTGACATCCCTAGTTCTCAATTCTATGTAAAATCATGCTAATAGTTTAAAGAACAATTATCTAATCCCCTCATCTATTTTCACATTCCAGTCTGAGTGTGTAGAAATTAGTTTAGTCCTTGGAATTCTTTCCCAAGAAGGATGAAATCAATGTTTTGGTATGTAGCATTGTCCAGACAGTGTGAGCAGCTGAGTTTATTCATCTTTTCCTTTCCAGGTTTTATTGAATTGTTCTGTAGTACAACCGGAGTCAAAAAAGTTACCCAGAGTCCAACTCCCATTTGACATTAGGAAGGAGCAATCCTTTATTCTCCCTTTCATTCAAAAGGAAAAGGAAAAAGATAAGAAATCCAGACAGTTTGAGTTTGATGGGAATGAACAATCTGAGTATATCTTCTGTTGGCACTGCTAAGACTTTCTTAATCCCATGTTATATACACATTCTCTCCTAGATGCTGATGGGGAGTCTCTCCACTCCTTTTCAGAATGGGATAATCCTGTGTTTGCTCGCTGCCCAGAGGTGGGTAGTAGTATGTTATAGATAGTTTCAGCGGAAACCATTTCTATTATGTATGTTTATTTTTTAACTGAAATGGCAAATACTATAATTGTTGTGTATATTTATTCTTCTTCGAGTAGTCCCCGTGGGTGCTCTACTCTGGGTGCTGGTGCGTCCTCACGCCGCGACTGGAGACTTTTTCCAGCAGTTTCTGCCGCACTGCGCAGGTGCCAGAGAGCCCCCTAGTGCCGTTGGAATCCTAAGGTGCCTGCGCGGCACAGCTCCTCAGTTCCTTCTCTACTGTCCTTGGCAGCAGACAGAGCCACTGAGTTCTCCTCGTTTTCTGTTTAAAAATAGATAAAACCTGTTCAACTCCCTAGTTTTCCTCAGCATCTAAGTTTTTTAGCCCTTTTCTCCTTACCCAGCCTGTTTTTGAAAAAAAATTTTTTTTTCTTCTGTTGCGGCCCGCCGCTTTTCCCCCGGGCGCCTCATGCCCGGCTCACCCAGCTTTAAGCGATGTGAGGCATGCCGCAATGCTATGCCTGTCTCTGATGGACACTCTAAATGTATAAAGTACTTGGGAGAGGCACACCAGATGCACAAGTGCTCCCACTGCCTTAAACTCACCGTGAGAGCACACTGACCGAGCCAAAAGACTCAAGGTGCTCCTTTACGAGAAGTCCCTTTGCCATTCTTCTGAGGACTCTCCCGCAGCTCCCAAACCAGCAGCACAGAGTGAGGATATGGATAAAAATCATCCCTCTACCCACTCCGGCCATACAGCCTTGAAAACTGGCCTTTCCCAAACTCCTTTGCTACCCTCGTCACTGATGGCCGCATGGTTCAGCACCAGAGAGAAACTGAGGACTTCAGGCATGGTGCCGTGTAAGTCGGTGCCGACTCCTAAGAGAGCCCACTCGGAGCCGAAGCAGAGGCCAACGGCACCACAACCTACGGCACTGGGGCCACACAAGACTCTGACCGTAACAGCTGGCTAGAGTTCCAACCGATCGGCACCGAAGCAACATCCGAAACAGTCACCGATGCCCGCACCGAAGAAGCCATGCACTGATGCCCCGCCGCCTAAATGCCCGGCACTGGAGCTGGTTGCCATTCCTCCATCACCTCCGGTACCCACGGTGCCTCCAGCGTCTACAACAACCTCAGCACCAAGGCCATCCTTGGTACCAGATAGACACCACCGTTCGGCACCGAGAGAGTGCCGCATTCGGCACCGTTCACCCGCACGGAGCCATGCTTCATTGGCACCGATTTCACCAGGCTTTTCTGTTAATTCCGTACAGTCTTGATGATCCTCTGTGGTTTCTTGTTCCCCAAGTAAAACAGGTACCGGGTCTAGAAGCAGGTTTTCCTCACAACACTCTAGTCCGACACCTAGACAACCATCCTGGCAACCTGCTACAATACAGTACGCATACCCCCCTCCTCCGCCAGCATGGTATGCTCAACAGTATGCCTATCTACCACTGCATTATGCCACTCAATGGCAACCTTGGGAGCCACATCCAAAAAAGAACCACCGCCGCGCTCCTTCTACTGTTTCCAGTGCACCACCAGCCTCCCCATCCTCTACCACTCCTGTTACTGAACCAGCCTCTCCACCTCACTCCGACATACAGGACTCCCTTTCTGAGGGGGAAGATAGGTCACCCTTGCATAATTCATCGTCGTCTCTGGATGACGCAGTCACAACGGAAACCTCACTATCAGGCGATGACACCAAAAAATGTCAAGACCTGTTCAAGAGGGTGTTTTTGGCACAACAACGAGACCTTCAGGAGGTCCAGGTAAAGCACTATCCCCTTCTGCGCATGTTGCAACCTCCTACTGCCTCTAGGATAGCGATCCCCATGGATGAAGCCATCATGGATCCAAAATCATCATGGATCCGCCCGGCCTCTGTTGCCCCCACAAACAAAAGAGCTGACTGCAAATATTTCATCGCTCCCAGAGATATGGATTTTCTTTTCACTCATCCCCCTCCGAATTCACTAGTGATGGACTCTGCTCGACATAAGGGTAAACAGCCTAATTTCAGAAATACCCCACAAGACAGAGACCATAAGAAGGGTGACATCATGGTTGGTAAAGTTTACACCTCTGCTACTCTGCTCCTTAGAGCATCAAACTATACTGCCATGCTTGCTGACTACGACCACACTAACTACTCCAAGTTGCAGGATCTTCTCCCACACCTCCCAGAACACAAGAGA